CAAGGGATTAGGGACCGGGGCAGTCTTAGTCTTTAAATCATGACAACATTACCCAATTTCGACCAAGATAAGTTTCCCGTGTACAAATAATATGGCGGAGTACGAAGCGTGCATCCTTGGGATCAAGATAGTGGTCGATATGAACATCAAAGAACTTTTGGTCATAAGAGATTCTGATATGCTCATCTACCAAGTCCAAGGAGAATGGACTACCAAGAATGTCAAGATTCTTTTGTGCTTGAATTGTGTGAAGGATTATGTCAGAAATTCACCAAGTTCGAGTTCAGGCATGTTCCCAGAATCCAGAATGAATTCACCGATACTCTTGCAACATTGTCATCCATGATTTAACACCCGGAAAAGAATTTACATTGACCCTATTGAAGTGGAGATCTGGGACAAACATGCATACTACTTTCATGTAGATGATGAACCATATGGCAACCTTTGGTATCATTATATCAAAGGTTCCTTGAGACAAGAGAATACCCAGAAAATGCTACTACCGGTCAGAAGCGAGCACTAAGGAGACTGGCAAGCCACTTTTTCTTTAACGGGAAAGTTCTATACAGGAGGACCCCGGACTTGGGCCTGTTAAGGTGTGTAGATGATGCTAAAGCGACAAGATTGTTGGAGGAAATACATGCAGGGATGTGCGGGCCTCATAGGAATGGATTCACCTTAGCCAAGAAGGTTCTGAGGGCAGGATACTTTTGGATGACCATGGAAAGGGATAGCATTCGCTATGTGCAGAAATGTCATCGATGCCAGATTCACAGGGATTTTATTAGGATTCCACCAAATGAGCTAAATATGATGGGTTCTCCTTGGTCATTCGCCGCTTGGGGCATGGATGTGAACGGACCCATAGAACCGACCACGTCAAACGGGCATCGTTTTATCCTAGTGACTATTGATTATTTCACCAAATGGGCTGAAGTTTCTATATATAAAGTCGTTACGAAGAAGGTGGTGGCAGATTTCGTTCGTAACAACATAGTATGATGATTTGGGATCCCAAAGTCAATTATAACTAACAATGCAGCCAATATCAACAGTAATTCATGAGGAAAATTTGTGAGAAGTTCAGAATTGTTCATTGCAATTCCATAGCATACAGACCGCAGATGAATGGAGTAGTTGAAGCAGCCAACAAAAATATCAAGAGGATCTTGAGAAAGATAGTAGACAACCACAGAAAATGGCATGAGAAACTATCATTAGCACTACTTGGTTATCGCACTACAATGAGGATGTATAATGGGGCAACACCATACATGTTGTTATATGGTACATAAGTTGTAATACCCGCAAAGGTAGAGATACCTTCTTTAAGGATTATCCAGGAGGCCAAGTTAGACAACGCAGAATGGATACGTATCAGGCAGGAACAACTAATTCTTATTAATCAGAAGATGATGGATGCAGTTTATCATGGTCAACTTTATCAAAATAAGATGTCCAAGATATTCAACAAGAAAGTGAAACCTCGACAATTCACACCGGGGAAGATGGTCTTAAAGAAGATATTTCCCTATTAAGAGGAAGTTAAAGGAAAGTTTGCACCAAATTGGCAAGGTACATATGTGATCCATTGGGTACTGTCAGGTAGAGCATTATTCTTAACAGAAATGGATGGCAGAGTGAGCACAAAGCCCATCAATTCAGATGCAATCAAGAAGTACTACATTTGAAGACCACTAAGTTAGGTTTTTATGTAACAGAACTACGCTTGACCTGACTTCCCGCGGTGGGATACATAGGCAACCCACGTAGGGTCCGGTCCTATTTGTAATAGAAAATCTAAATATTATTTCCATGTATTCGGAACTACGCCATGAATTGATTTTCTTTTATGGGAATACGTAGACAATCCACATCAGATTCAGTCGTTTATTGTAATATGTTTTGACCTGATTCTGTTTAGATTGTAGGCAGTCTGAGTCAGACTCCGTCGTATCACTTTAAAATATCATTTTTTTTTCTTCATTTCTACACCTATTGTAATTGAACTACGTTTTGACTTGATTCCGTTTGAATACGTAGGTGGCCTGATTCAGGCTCAGTCACTTCAATGTTTTATTTATTCATACCCTCGAACTAGGTTCAGGCCTGATTCCTTTTGGATACGTAAGCAACCTGAAACGGTTCGGTCAATACCCTAGGAAAGCCTTTGTAATGTATTGTCCAAATTAGGAAATGATTACATCCCAAAAGGAATTTGTCATCAGGGGCACATCTAGAAAGGCACTGTCAGCGAATGAGAGTCATCAAGATATGATATTCGCATGAAAGTCTAGGGGTTTCTAAACATTTCATAGTTCGGAACAACGACGTTTATCGTAGATATAAATGATTTTTCTAAATTATTTTCTAAAAAATGCATGTCCTACTTTTCCACCTACCAAGCCTCATGGCATAACTCACCATAGTCGGAAGTAGCGTGAAGGAATCTAGAGCAAGACAAGTTTACGGTCAACACAAATAAACACCCCTCCCCACTAAGAAATTTTCTTTGAACGTAAGATTGACATTGGCCAGATAACGTCATCTAGAATCGGAATCATTGCCAAATTCACGACAATCTCATGAGCTTTCGACTCTCTTTTACCTCATTATTTAATTCATTTCAATCTCATAACTTTTAACTTTTGCAGGTATCCCGGAGCCAAACCTCCAATATAACTAGAGTTGCCCACTTGCTCTGCCAATCGGAGTCTATTGTACAGATCACACCGTTCGCTCTGTCAATCAGAGTATCTTGTATAGATTGGACTGTGTGCTCTGCCAATCAGAGCACCTTGTACAGTCATATGTTAGCTCTGCCAATGGAAGCACAGTGTACAGATCGCACCACCCGCTTTGCCAATTGGAGCCCATTGTACAATCGCAAGGTCCGACCAGGACACACCATTGGTTGTAAAGCTATCACGTCGCTCCGCCAAATCGGATATTTCAAATAGATTATTGCAAACCTCGTCGCCAGCTTCGCCAATCGAAGGATGGTTCATTCAAATTATGTCATACGTCTCGCCGATCAGCGGCCGCAAATCTAGTCCCACCAACCAGAGGGGCCAAACTTAGAAAAATGGTTCTGCAGTCAAGAGTATCGCTTAGGCATGCTCTCTTCTATCCTTATTTTATTTTGAATGTTTTGACATTTTCATTATGCAGCTTACATGCGCTTTTACATTCTCATTAATTTAAAATTCCAAACCTCTCGCCACGTGGGGATTCAAATTCAAAGATCAAAATCAAAGTTCAAAGTCAAACACTCCACCACTTGGAGATTCAAATTCAAACATTCCTCCATGCGAAGGCTTAAAGCCAAATACTCCATCACTCAGAGATTCAAAGTCAAAGTTCAAAGTCAAAATTCAAAGTCAAAATTCAAAGTCAAATGCTCTGATAACTTTGGAATTGTACACAACCTAGCTAAACCTCAAAGTCAAATTTCAAACACTCATTCCCCGAAATCCCAAATAATACTCCACAGCTCGGAGGCTTCAAAAAAAAACCTAATCCCCGGAATCCCAAATAATACTCCACGACTCGGAGGTTTCAAATTCAAATATCCCATCGCCCAGAGATCCCAAATTAAGGCTTGCTGGTAGCCAAGCATTATCATTTCACATATTTACATTATATATCCTTCACAATATATGGGTATGTGTGTATCTTCCCTTTGCAGGTCAGACGCTACAATGTGGAACTACCTCTAAGCAGCAAACCAGGTCATATCACTGATGAGGGACGTCAAACTCATAAGCAAGCCAAGGAATAAGTCTCTAGCTCAACTCGACCAATAAAGTCCGAACTATCAAAATCTCTAATCAAGCTGCGACTCAGAAGCCGTTTTGAATCTCAAAATCTCTTCATTTTACAGTATCATCATAACACAATACTGGGGCAATCCCTGCAAGCATAACTCTCCTCAAATCATCATTCCAAAATTATATATGGCATGATCCTCGTTGAGCCAAGGGTATGTAGGTGATTCAAAAGCCATAATTCGGCCATAATTTCATAGTTCATTGTTTTCACAACCCCATATGCTTTCTTTGCAGTATGTGCCTAAAGTCCGGGCAAAATCGGTCATTGAGTCAATTTCTTTGCCCTTAGAATCTTTTATCATCTTTGGTCAAAGATAGGCAGCTGTCGACGACCAATTTTGGCCCTCCTTTTTTCTAATGAACTTATTACGCTTCTTGATCAAGAATAACATAGTAAGATATTTTTTTAAATTATTATTCAAGTTACCTATTTTTCTAAAACTAATGATGGTTATTAATATTAATCATATGCCCATAATTATACAATAGTAATTTAATCTTAAGATTTACAGTTATATCACCTATGTTATTTTAATTAATTAATCAATCGGCTTTTTGTGATTTTAATATAGATATTATATATTTTAACCATTTTGAAAATATGAAATTAGCTTATAAAAATTTGTTAATATTATATCCGTCAATTATACTTTATTATATCTTATTGGGATTAAAGAAGTTTAATTAATTTAATTATGAAAAGGGATTAATATTTAAATGGATTATACTTGCAATAGATGGATTCTAATTATAATGGCCATATGTTCAATATATTTTCAACCTTTTCTTACAAAAGCCCAATAAAATGGCCCAAAAAGTGTCTTTGACCCGTCCAGGCCCAAAATCAATGCAACCACCCTTTTCTACTTGGCAATTCATGCCATATCCCCTCCATCAATCCCGTTTTGCTACATCAGCAGCTCAAACACACCTCACATGGACCGTTGATCACATTTATCAACAGTCCAGATTAATCATTCTTTTCCCTTTTAATTTTAATTTTGCCAGTTTTAATCTCAACCGTTGGATCAAAATGATCCAACGGCCCCTATTTTATTCCCCATGATTGAATTTCTTTTATCTTTAGTACAAATTTTCTGAGACGTTGATCCATCTCATCCAACGGTCCACTTTTCTTCTCTCACTTAAAACATACCAGACCCCTTAAACCCTAATCACTCCACTCATTTGCCAGCCACCCCATTACCCCTTTCTCTCATCTCTCTCTCATCCTCTCCAACCTTTGAATTCCCTAAAACATATCACAAATGAGTGCAAAATCACTATAAGACCATTGTGAGACCATCATCATCATGTTAGCCGAGAATTCAGCTGAAATTATTTCTATTTCCATCATCTCTTTTAAAATATCAAAATCCAAAATCCTAGATTCAAACATGAAAAACATATGATATCATCATCGCACCTTCATTTTTCAAATCCTCCATTAAAGCTCGCATGTACCCTTCATATTTGGAGGAATCTTGACCTCAACGTGACGTTTGACGACCCAGAGATCAAACGTGGGGACCTATGGGTAAAGGCTTTGTTCAGAGGTCATCGGCTTCAAACGGCTAGTCTATTTCGTCACTTTTGAGAAGGTAAATCTTCACTCTCTTTTCCCTCTGATTTTTTTTTATCTTTTCCCTTGATATCGTCATAAGTTCTTTCATCGGTGCTCATTATTGTTCTTTATTTTCTATCAATTTTGAATTTGAGAGTTCAAAAACACAAACCCTAAAATCCCTAATCTTTGGCTATAAATATCTGCTTTAATGCCTTCACCTAACAATGAATCAACATAAATAAATGCAACTACAATAAAGCTTTAAAATATATGTCTATTTGCTCTCTTTTTTTTAATTCTTTCATCTCTTTCAATTCTAGTCAAGCTAATCTATTCTTGAGCTGACTGTGGGCACTAGTTCCTAACGGCTAAAGTCAAGACCTTGGTTTGCTGCCCTAAGGAAGTCAGTGCGCCTTCATTCAATTCGTTTCAATGATTTAATTTTTTCATAACTTATCATGTGTAGTTATTCTACTTGATTTGTCTAAAGTGTGTTGAATCTTATATTGGCAGCCCTGTTTTTCTCACCTAGTTAGAATGAACATGATATGAAGTATGTTGTGAGATTTATTTACTTAGCATGTTACATGTTCATGGTTTAACAATGATTTTACTTTGTTGGCTAAAACCTTTGTTGCTTTGAAGATATTTGTTTGCTTGTTGGTATGTAAATGATACTTCTTATCATCATACTACTGTTTTGTTATGAAAGTCATGCCTATAAGGCTTAGTGGTCTAAGTTCACAATAGGCTGCTGAAGTTTGTACTGCTTGGACTGTTAGTTTAAACCATTGTTGATTTGAGTTCCTTGTTGTCTTTACTGCAAATCCCACCCTTTTTATCATAATGTTGCCTTGTTGTAGATACCATACCTATAGGGTCCTACTTAAGATCAAAATTTAATCACCCTATTCTGTTTAATAGCTATTATTGTTTTCTTTGTTAGCATGACCTTTGTGAGGTTAATTCTAAGTCTAAAATACTTAACCTAGGCTGCTTGATACTCAATGAAGTGTGATCATGAACTATCCACCTGACTATGTATTTGTTTGTCTCTAAGTCATTGTCCTGCAGCTGGTTTAGTTTCCTTAGAGTTTGAGTTTCTAAGGACTTAGACTCACTAAGTGTAAAGCCATGTGTGTTAGTATTGTGTCTTTGTCTAACCTGAGTAAGGCACTAGGCCTCTGTTGAAACCCAATAAATGAGTACATGTTTGAGTGATTATATTGGCTAAAACTCTGGTAAGTACCTTAGGTAATTTGGAATGACATTCTAGACTTGAAATCGTCTTTAACATAGTAAGTATGCCAAAAGGAGTATACTGTTGACAATATTTACCTATGTGACTCTCATTTGACTATGTTTGTTTGAGACAGTGAAGCTATATGTGTTGTTACATATGAAAGGATTCTAAGTTTCCTTCTAAGCTATTGAAACCATTTAAGGGATTTCTGAGACCTCATAGCCATATGTGATGATGATTGTGCCTTTAGCCATGATTAAAATGATGAGAATATTTGAAACACAAAACATATCTAGCATCCTGTTATCTGTGTCATAATGTTTAGATTTATTCTTCATTCATAAAATGTTCTTTGATATGGTGTTATTCTAAAATTACGTGTGCCTTCACCTCACTGAATTCTTAAAATAATATCATGTTTACATTAGGCCTTCTTAAAAGCTTGTTTCATGTTGACTGTTTAGGTCTACCTGGCCAGCAAGTTTAGTTGAAGTTTTGAGTCAATGTTTTGTATTCAAACCTCTATGGAAAAATAAAGTTCAATAGATAATGTCTTTGTTGTGGACCTAATTTCACTACCAAGGGACCCACCCTAGCACAAGCACTGCTTGGGGCCCTAGAGACCCTTGTGAACTCTGAAGTGCCACGGGTTCATAGGACAACCTTGTAAGTGAAAAGTAGTTCACTCTAACCATTGGTTATTGGCTTTAGTTAATCTCTAAAGAGGTATCACAAATAAAATTTGGCTTTTCTTTGTTTATTTTAGATCATACTTATGTTCGTTGTTATGTTTCTGCTTTTGCCTTCTATCTGCAAGTACTAATTAAGTTCCCTCTCTTTTGCATGAGCATATTGGGCCTGCTGAGTTTATTGTAAACTCTGGCCCAAATTCAAATAAATTAGGCCGCCTCTCCTCGTCGCATCCATGTCTGTTGAAGCCTACTACTGATTGAATTTAAATTTGGCCTAAATAATTGCCAGCCCACCACAGAGTCCAGTTCCCTTCCTTTACTTTATATCACTACTGTTGTTAGCCTGTTTCTATATATATGTTGTATTATGAAACTAACAGTGATGTTATGTGATCTTATCTTTGTTGTGGTTGTTTAGAAAATGATCTTAGGATAATCAGAATCTCGTAGGGTAAAAGGTAAATATGATTAAGATAACTTTTTTACTTTATAAGGCTAATAACCTCAAAAACCTGAATATGTATCGTCAACTTTATCAATAATGTTCTTTTTCATTCACTTATGTTTTTCTGACGAGTTTTCTTTAGAAGCGTTTGTAGAATTAAATCAAGTTTAAGCGAAACACTTTTGAAAATTCTTCAGTTGAGTCACTTAGGAAAATTTGGCACAAAACATTTCAGAAAAGGGATGATTGCATGATTCAAAATTGATCTGTAGTTTTATAAGGATGAAAAATTATTTTGGGAAGTCAAATAACTTAGACCAAATGAGTCTTTTGAAACAGTCAAGGTATACACGTTTTGGGTCATAAAGGCTAGCATTAGTATACACATGCATTCTTTTAAACAAGTCATTATTTTGAATAAGTCTTATAACTTAGTTTTAAAATTAGGCATTCTTTTCTAAAGCTATAAACCTATTTTCAAATCAAGCATTTTTAGTAAGACAAAGCATTTTATCACTGTAATTAGGCTTTCATATAGACCCCTTTAGCAACCTTAACAACTACTTGACTAGGATATAAATAATTCTTTCCCCATATTTAGCCTAAGTTTAAAGAACTACTTTAATATGGATTTTAAGGGATGCTACATTTTCCTTAGAATAACTAGAACTCTTACCCGAATTCTCACTGGTTTAGCGAACCATTAAGATGTTGATCTTTATGGACTTATAGGTATCCTAGTATACCTTTAAATATTAGGTGGCCACACTTTTTTTATTAACCTCAAAGGAACCACAAATTGTATTTTGTTTTGACCTGTGCAAAATAGGGTGCAACACCGTGCACTTCCGTTTATATTATATGGTGAGGAAGAAAGTAAAAGTACGAAGGGTGATGCCATGTAATTTATTGAATTCACTACTTTTACTTGATATTTGGAATGTGAACTTGGCTTTGTGGTTTTTGTTAAATACTTTTGAAACATGTTTACTCTGTGATACTTTACTTTACGTTTCTGATTGTTGCCCCTTTCATATATCCCTATCCCGTTTTTACTTTGGTTTCTTTACTTGTTATTCTGTTGCTATTGATATATAACTGCATAGGTTTATAGCAGGTGTCTTGTCTTAGCCTTGTCACTACATTGTTGGGGTTAGGCTCGACACTGATTGAGTATATTGGATCGATTGTACTCATACTATACTTTTTCACTTTTTGTGCAGATCCTGACATTGGTACCAATGGAGTTCTAAGAGGTACATAGCAGCTACCAGGCAGTGATTCAAAGTAGAGCTGCATTCCGTTCGTAGGCCTTAGAATAACTTTCCTAGTTCCTATATACTGTTTCCATTTTATTTCAGACAGTATTGTAATTCCTTTCCAAATATTGTATTTAGTATAATCCCGAAGCTCATGTACTTGTGACTTCACATATTGGGATATTCGCGTTAGATGTTGGTTTTAGACTTATTGTGTTTGTATCAGAATTGCCTTTACGTTTTGTTATTAATCTATTGTCAGTCTTTTATAGAGGTTCTTCCTATTCATCTCTTGTGTGTTGGCTTGCCTAGCAAGCATTGTTAGGCGCCATCACGACCTCGATTGGTTGGGCTTTCGTTCGTGACAAGTTGATATCAGAGAAGTAGGTTGCATAGGTCTCATGAGTCATGAGCAAGCTTAGTAGAGTCTTGATGATCGGTATGGAGACGTATGTACTTATCTTCTAGAGGATATATGGCTTTAGGAAATTTCACTTTCTTTCTTTCTCTATCGTGCAACTTTGTTCTATCATTGAGTTTAAATCAATCTTCTCTTATTCTCTCACAAATGGTGAGGACACGTACGACATCCGTAGTTGACCAGGATTCAGAGCCCCTGACTGTAGCCACTACCAGGGGTAAGGGCCATGACCGAGGTAGAGGCAGAGCTCAGTCTAGAGCACGCGCAACGACACCTGTTGTTGAGCCTCAAATATAGTAGGAGGATGAGATCCCTATTTCGACCGAGCCAGTTGGACCAGCTCAGGTCCCAAAGGGGTTCATTGCTAACCCAGTGCTTCAGGACGCCTTAGTCCGCATGGTTGGCTTGATGGAGAGTATGGCACATGCTGGTGTGTTTCTTGTGGCACCAGCCATTTCTCAGGCCGGGGGAGGATCCCAGACTCCCGCTAATCACACTCTAGAGCAGATGGCTCATAAGTATCAGACCCCAGCAGACCTACCAGTTGGGAGAGTTCAGCCTGTTGTTGCTACACAGTCCGAGCAGAGACCCGCAATATCAGCTGAGGGGATGAAGAGGTTGGACAAGTTCACCCAGTTGTTTCCCCCCTCACTTTAGTGGTATACCTTTTGAGGACCCCATGATTTCTTGGACTGTTTCCACGAGATATTGTACAACATAGGTATAGTGGAGTCCAACAGAGTTGATTTCATAGTGTTTCAGATGCATGATTCTTTCAAAAGGTGGTGGTAGTTGTATGTACAGGGTAGGCCAACAGGTTTACCTCTTCTTACATGGGCTCAGTTCTCGTAGTTGTTCTTAGAGAAGTCCATCCCCTTCACCTAGGGAGAGGAGTTCTGTAGTCAGTTTGAGCGCCTTCAGCAGGGTAGCAGATGTTACTCAGTATGAGACCAGATTTGTGAATTTATCACGCCATGCAGCTATCATAATCCCTACTGAGAGGGAGAAGGTGCGTAGTTTCATAGATGGCCTTATATATGGCATCATTCTATAGATGGCCAGAGAGACCGAGGATGATATTTCTTTCACTCGGGTAGTGGAGATTACTAGGAGGATCGAGCACATCAGAGGTCAGGCTAGGGAGATGACCTCTGACAAGAGGCCGCGTCATTTTGGAGGATTTAGTGGTGCCTCATTTGGAGGCAGGGTTCTTTGGTAGAGGCCATCCTATCAGGTTGGTCTAGTTAGATCTACCCAGTCAGCGACAATGCATATGGATCTCGTCCCAAGCAACTAACATATTGTGTTCCTTTAGCTCTGGTTAGTGCACCTCTGATACAAAGTTATTAAGGTGGTTATTCAAGTCGACAAGTACAGTTCCAGGGTCAGCACTGATGTCAGTCGAGTGCTTGTTATACTTGTGGGGATCTAAGGCACGCCACGAAGTTTTTCCTGAAGTCGTAGAGCAGCACGCCACAGTAGGGCACTCGTGCCATGATTCCAGCACTGATGGCTTCACTACCCCACACAATCAGCTAGAGGCGGGGGTTAGGTAGCCCAAGGTTATGGTCAGATAGTTAGATGTGGAGGCCAGCCAGTGAGAGGACGTCCGAGAGGTGGAGGTTAAATTGGTGGGGCTCGGCCCCGTTGTTATGTATTTCTAGCTAGACCTGAGGTAGAGTCATCTGATCCAGTTATTATAGGTATTATCTTAGTCTGTCATAGAGATGCTTCCGTGTTGTTTTATCTGGGCTCTACATATTCTTATGTGTCTTCATATTTTGCTTCGCATTTGAGTATGCCACGTGATTCTCTTGATGTCCCTATTTCTGTGTCGACACCGGTTGGAGACTCTATAGTAGTTGATCAGGTGTATAGGTCATGTGTTGTTACTATTAATGTCTTTCATATTGTAGTTGATCTTTTGTTGTTGAATATGGTAGATCTTGAGGTCATTCTTGGTATGGATTGGTTGTCCTGGTATCAAGCTATCTTGGACTATCATGCCAATACTGTGACTTTAGCTATGTCAGGGTTGCCTAGATTATAGTGGAGAGGGACTCACAGCCACTCCACTAGCAAGGTTGGTTTCATATTTGAAGTCTCGACATATGGTCCAGAAGGGGTGTTTGGCGTATTTTGCTTATATCCATGATTCTAGTGCAAAGGTTCCTTTTATGGATTCGCTACCAGTTGTGAGTGAGTTTCCTGAGGTGTTTCCTATAGATTTGTCGGGTATGCCACCCGACAGGGATATCAAATTTTCCATTGATTTGGTTCCGGGCACTCCGCCTATTTTTATTCTGTTGTACCGTATGGATCCAACTAAGTTGAAAGAATTAAAGGATCAGTTGCAATATTTTCTTGACAAGAGATTTATTATACCGAGTATTTCACCTTAGAGTGCATCGGTGTTGTTTTCCAAGAGAAAGGTCGGATCAATAAGGATGTGCAAAGATTATCGGCAGTTGAACAAGGTCACCATCAAGAACAAGTATTTGTTGCCTAGGATTGATGATTTATTTGACTAGCTTCAGGGTGCCAAGGTGTTTTCTAAGATTAACTTAAGATTAGTCTACCGTCAGGTGAAGATTAGGGCATCGGATATCCCTAAGACAGCTTTTAGGACTCGATATGGTCATTACGAGTTCTTGGTGATGTTATTTGGCTTGACTAATGCTCCAACTGCCTTCACGGATTTAATGAACCGAGTGTTCAAGCCGTATTTGGATTCGTTCATGATTGTCTTCGTTGATGTTATTTTGGTTTACTCTCGTAGTCGAGAGGAGCATGTGTAGCACCTATGGATTGTACTTCAGACTTTGAAGGATCGTCAATTATATGGAAAGTTTTTGAAGTGTGAGTTCTGGTTACACTCGATTGCCTTTTTGGGTCATGTTGTGTCTTTTGAGGTTATCAAGGTGGATCCTAAGAAGATTGAGGCAGTTCAGAACTCGCCTAGACCTATACAGAGATTCAGAGCTTCTTGGATTTGGCGGGTTACTATTAACGATTCGTAGAGGGGTCTTCATTTATCTCAGCCCCATTGGCCAAGTTGACCCAAAATGGTGCTCTTTTCAGATGGTCCGACGAGCGTGAGGCGAGATTTCAGAAGCTCAAGACTTACTTGACTACAGCCCCGGTGTTGGTGTTGCCCACAGGTTCAGAATCTTACACTGTGTATTATGATGCATCACGTATTAGACTTGGCACGGTATTTATGCAGGATGGTAGGGTGATTGCCTATGCGTCTCGTTAGTTGAAGGTTCATGAGAAGAATTACCCTATGCATGATTTGGATATGGCAGCCATTGTTCACGTGCTCAAAATTTGGAGGCACTATCTCTACGACATCCCATGTGAGGTCTATACTGACCATCAGAGTCTCCAACTTCTATTCAAGGTGAAGGATCTTAATTTACAGCAACGGAGATGGTTAGAGTTACTGAAATATTATGATATCACCATATTATATCATTCGGGAAAGGCCAATGTAGTGGCCGATGCATTGAGTATGAAGGCAGAGACCATGTGCAGTTTGGCATTTTTACCGGCAGTGGAGAGGCTATTAGCTATGGATGTTTAGGCTTTGGCCAATCGGTTCATAAGGTTGGATGTTTCAGAGCCTAGTTGGGTTCTTGCTTGTGTTGTGGCACAGTCATTATTGTTGGAGCGTATCAAGGCTCACCAGTTTGATGATCCTCGCTTGTTGGTGTTAAAAGACACGGTGCAATGGGGTGCTGCCAAGGAGGTTGCGATTGGAGATGATGGTGTTATGCGGCTTCAGGGCTGGATTTGTGTTTCGAATATTGATGGGTTGAGAGAGTTAATGCTTGAGGAGGCTCACAATTCACGGTATTCCATTCACCCAGGTGTCACGAAAATGTATCGTGACTTGAATCAGCACTATTGTTGGTCATGTCTCTCGGTGTTTGTATTGTCAAAAGGTGAAGTATGAATATCAGAAACTGGGTGGGTCGACTCAGATATTGGAGATACCGAAGTAGAAGTAGGAGCGCATCACTATGGATTTTGTGGTAGGCTTAACACAAACCTTGAGGAAATATGATGTTGTTTGGGTTATTATGGACCGGTTGACTAAGTCCGCACACTTCATTTCGATGATGACATCCTATTCTTCAGAGCGGTTAGCTCAGATTTACATCCGGGAGATTATCCGTTTGTACGGTGCGCCCATTTCCATCAATTTAGACCGGGGCACATAGTTCACATCACACTTTTGGAGAGCCGTGCAGCATGAGTTGGGCACGCAGGTCGAGCTGAGTACTACATTTCATCCTCAGACGGACGGATAGTCTGATCATACTATTCATATTTTGGAGGACATGTTGCGAGCATGCTCAATGGATTTCTTGGATCAGTAGGACCAGTTCCTACCTTTAGTAGAGTTCTCCTACAACAATAGCTATTAGTCGAGCATTCAGATGGCTCTATACGAGGCCTTATATGGGAGGCAATGTTGATATCCGGTTGGTTTGTTGTGAGGCTAGATTGTTGGGCACGGACTTGGTTCGTGATTCTTTGGAGAAGGTAAAGATGATTCAGGAGCGGCTTCGTACAGCTCAGTCCGGGCAAAAGAGTTATACGGACCAGAAGGTTTGAGATGTGGCTTACATGGAAGGTGAGAAGATTCTTCTCTGAGTGTCGCCTATGAAAGGCGTGATGCGGTTTGGGAATAAGGGTAAGTTGAGCCCGAGGTTTATCGGCCAGTTAGAGATTTTGGATAGAGTTTGGGAGGTTTCCGGTATTTCACATTTCCATGCTTCGGAAGTACCATGAGGATAGGTCACATGTTTTAGACTTCAGCACAGTGCAATTTGATGAAAA